TTCGTCATATGATTTCCAGACCCACTTTATAGCCCTGTCTCTTATACACATCTAGATGTGTATAAGAGACAGGTATTAAACCATAGGCAGAGAGGGAGAAGAGGAGAACTGTCTCGTCGGAGTTTTCTCGATTTTTTTTTCAGTACCTTGAGCCGCGGCGCGGATGAAGACATCCTGGAAGCTTCAGTCACGTACTACCCGCTTCTCCTGGGATTGCTGGCACACCATCATGCAATCGATTCACTCCTTCGGACTTCCGTTCGCTATGACGTCAGAAAAAGCAGACAGTTTTCCAGTCGCCATAGCCAACTCTCCCTCCCAACAGGGTCAGCAGAAGTCGCAGTGCCGCAGACAGGGTTTTTTTCCAGACCCCTCCCTCGAACACAATCCTAGCAGCCACAGACAGTCCAACCTCTTCGGGAACCAGCCCTCCCTCGCACATCGTCCTTCACATCTCCCTTCGCAGGATTTAAGCCGTGATCTCAGCAAGCAGACAGCTCTCGCCATAGCCAACTCAACTCCCTCCCAACAGGCTCCCTCAAAAAACGTTGTCGTGCCACCGGCTTTCTCCCGCTTTCTTGAATCTTCCCCCCAACATCATCCTAGCATCCAAAGTCCAGACTTCCTTCCGGAACGATTACCATCCCTCGCCACCTTGTCCTTCACAATGTCATCCTTCGCTCGCAGGATGATGTTGGCGGGAAGATCTCAGTAAGTCCGGCGGACTTTGGCTCCGCATAGCCATAGCCATAGCCATAGCCATCTCCCTCCCCAACTGTTACAGCGTATAACTCCCACAAAGAAGACAGCTCTAGCCATAGCCAACTCCGTCCAGTTCTTCAGTCGCCATAGCCATCTCCCTCCCAACAAGGTTTACCTTAACACGGGACGTGGGAACGCCACCGGCCGGCTTTCTTGAATCTTCCCGCCAACATCATCCCTGGCACTTGCAGTTCTCTGCTCTTTCTTCCACTGCCTCTCTGCAACACTGTGACGTGATCGATTGGTTCCGATCGGGTCCCCCTTCGCAGCACAGCACCCTTCGCCAATTTTGCCATGATCTTCAAATATGCGTGGAGCGGAGTTCCCGTCATGATAGCCAACTTCCTCCCAAGTTGAATACGTGGCAGGGTTAACACACGTGGCAGCGCCACAGGCTTTTCAGGATTCTTTCCTCCAACGTCATCCTAGTAGCTGCAGTCCTCTTTATCTGAGATTCTCTGCCCACTGTGACGTCAGTCGTCTAGATTACCAACGCCCCATTCAGAACCCCCTCCACGACCGTCAGCTGCAGTCCTCTTTATCTGAGATTCTCTGCCCACTGTGACGTCAGTCATCTAGATTCTAAACGCCCCTTTGCAACCCCCTCCGCGACCATCAGTTCCCGCCGAGGCAAACAGATCTCAGCGTAACCAAGTTGAGCTCCCTAACCAAGACAAGAGTTAACACACGTTGCAGTGCCGCGGGCTTTCATGAATCTTCTGTCGGCAGGTTCAATTCTTCACCATGCTCTTGCATCTGCAGGTTCAATTCTTCTGCGCTTCGCTGCACAATGTGTCGCATTTGGTTCGATTCGAACCCCCATCGCCGATTTCGCTATCATGATCTTAGTAGGGAGGACAGGTCTTCTCACTATACCCAACTTCAACCCATTGCAACACAGGGTTAACACACGTGAAGGTGCAACTGGCTTTCGCGAATCTGCCACCTCAACTTCGATCATCCTCGCGGCCGCATGCCATACACTTCCTCTGCGCTTCATTGCTGCACACAATGTGTCAGATTTTATGTGAACCCACATCATCGCTGATTTCGCTATGATCTTAGCAGGAAGACAGTTCTTCTCGCTATAATATCCAACTCCGCCCCAACAGGGTTAACACACGTGACAATGCCACCAGCTTCCTCAAATCTGCCCTGCACTGTGACCACCCTCGCAGCCGCATCAGATTCTTCCGTCAATCATCATCCTGGCAGCTGCAGGTCACTTCTTCTGTGCTTCCCTGCACAATGTGTCACGTTTGATTTTAACCCCCTTCGCTGATTTCGCCGTCATCTTCGAAGGACAACAGTTCTTCCTCCCTAGCGCACACTTGACAATGCCACCGGCTTTCTCAAATCGGAAATCTGCCCTCCGACCTACCAAGGTAGAGAAAGACACGTGACACAGTGCCACTGGCTTTCTCCAATCTGCCCTCCACTTTGATCGTACTCCCACTCAGCAGCCGCATCCCGCCAGTTCTTCCGGGCTTCTCTTCATTATTACATCGGTCCACGGCGCCATAGATTCCATTCTTCTCGCTCGCCGCGATTTCAGGAGGCCGCCAATTCTTTTTCTTACCACATAGCTCACCCCCTCGCAACCGGGTTAACACACATCGTGGCAGTTGCCTCAGGAATCTGGCAGATCTGTCCTCCAACGTCTAATATCTACACGATAACCTGGCAAGGGGGAGGAGAAAACCGCAAACCTGCTGGCGACCTCAAGCTTCTGTAACCCCTGCACTCGTTTACCATAATAACGGGAGGGGCATTTTGGCAAAAGAAAAAAAAATCCGCCCTCCAACAACTTCCAGTGCTTCTTCCTCCAGTGGCACCCCTTTCCACGTGGCAGTTGCAGAGAAGCATGTTGTCGGTGAGTCACAAAAATCTCGAACCTCATGCTGTCTGTGAGAGACGGAAATCACAAACCTGCTGGCGGCATCAAGCTTCTGTACCCCTTGCACTCGTTTACCACAATAACAGGAGGGGCATTTCAGCAAATCTGTCCTCTAGCATCTTCCAGTGCTTCATCCACCCCTTTCCACGTCGCAGTTGCAGAGAAGATCATGCAGTCGGTGAGGGGCGAAAATCTCGGACCAGCTGGCGACATCAAGCTTCTGTACCCCTTGCACTCGTTTACCATGATAACAGGAGGGGCATTTCAGCAAATCCGTCCTCTAACATCTTCCAGTGCTTCATCCAGCCCTTTCCACGTGGCGGTTGCAGAGAAGAATGATGCCACCTACAGAGACATAAGATGCGTCCTTCCATTTTCCGGTGCAACTACCAGTAGTTGTAGTCATTTCCCACGGAACTACAGTAGCTGCACCCATTTCCCAGGCAAGTACCGGTACTAGCTGTGTTTCCGTCTTCTCCCGAATAGAACGCCTGGTCGTTATTGCCGCATCTGGACTGAAAGTTGCACCAAATACAGTGATAATGAGCTGGTGTTCTATTCCGGTGAAGACGGTCGCTGTGTTTCCCAACTTTCCAATGGACTGGCTGTTTCACACGGGACCACAGGTACTAGTAGTCATTTCCCATGCAACTGCCGGTAGCAGGTAGCCATTTCCCATGCAACTACCGGTAGTAGGTACACATTTCCCATGCAACTACTGGTAGTAGTAGGCCCTGCCTATGCAACTACCAGTAGCAGCCACTTTCCATCCCACTACCAGGAGCATCCATTGGCATGCAATCACCAGGCTTAGGCTGCTTAGCCCTTTCCTATGAAACTACCGGTAGGAGTCATTTCCCACCGTGCAGTTACCGGTACTACCAAAGACATTTCCCTCGCAACTACCAGTAGCAGCCATTATTTTGCATCGAGCTACGGGAACTGAAAGAAATACTAGCTCTTTCCCATGCAATGACTGGTAGTCTTGGTCATTTCCCATGCAATTACCGGTAGCCGTTGTCTCCCATCATCCAACTACCGGTAGTACGGAACACATTTCCCATGCAACTACAGGTAGCAGCCAGCCATTATTTCCCGTCGAACTACGGGAAATGAAAGGAATACTAGCTGTGTCCCATGCAACGACCGGTAGTATAGGTCGTTTCCCATGGAACTACCAGTAGTATTCATTTCCGAAGCAACTACCGGTAGTAGAAGGTGATTTCCCATGCAACCACCAGGCTTAGCCCTTTCTTATGCTGCTAAAAGTAGCTGCAGTCACTTCCCATCATGCAACTACCGGTAGCAGCCATTGCAATTCCCATACAACTACCGGTAGCTGCAGTTGTTTCCCACACATGTGCTCGACATTCCCCACGCAACTACCAGTAGCGAATTCAATCCCCCTCCTACAACTACTGGTAGCATTAAATCCCCACGCAACTGCCGGTACCGGTCAGTCCCCCTACAACTACCGGTAGCATACAACCCAATGCGACGACCGGTACCATTCAGTCCTGATGCAACTACCGGTAGCAGTTAGTCCCCACACCAGTAACGAAGTATGCAACTACCGGTAGCAGTCAATCCCAATGCACCTACCGGTAGCAGTCGATCCCTATGCACTTACAGGTAGCAGTCAATCCCTATGCACCTACCGGTAGCAACCAGCCCCCGTGCAACTACCGGTAGCAGTTAGTCCCCATGCAAATCCTGGTAACAGTCAGTACTTATGCAACTACCGGTAGCACTCAGCCCCCATGCAACTACCGGTAGCAGTTAGTCCCCATGCAACTCGCGGTAGCCGCCAGTCCCCATGCAACTACC